GTGTGACAAAAGACAGTCTGGCTCAGGGGCAGACTGACAACTCATGGGGCCCCCGGCCAATAGGGGATCATGGGGCCCCCGTGTCCACGCCCACACACCCAAAAAAGCCTATAAAAAGGTACCAGGGGCATCTCATGGGGACCCCTACTGACCCCGGGCCCTCAGGCAGTGCCCAAGTGCGCAAATGGTCAGTCTGCCCCTGGTCTGGTCTGGTCTCTTCCCTAAATACCTCCCACAGTCCCCAGAAGAAAAATTGCAATAACTCCCTTTTGAAGAATAAGCAATGAAATGACCCCAGCTTATTATCAGAAAGAGGACTGAGCTGCAAATTACAATATTTTCCTAAAGTAAGTAACTGGTTACATTTAGTTCATTGATACTATAACAGTTTAAATAACTGAGACAGAACTAGGCTTTCAGTTTTAAAACTAGTACAGTTATTTAATTTCTTCGTTTATTGGATAATTCAGTTTTCACTTCAGATTGACTTTAACACTTAACAGATTATTTCAGGCTTTTATCTGCGAGTGCTATGGGTCATGAAAAGACATTTTGTCTGAGCAGTTGCACGACTCACAAGTCATATGATGGACCATTACCTCATGATCTGAAACCCATGCTTAACAGGAGACTGTGCCACAACCTATTGCTCTAACGTTATATAGCTAAAGTCGACTTTCAATCCAATAATATCCAATACTTAAGTGAAATCCGCCCCCCTACGAAATCTAAAATGCTGATTTTTTTCACATTCCAGCCTACTCCCTGACTCCATTCTTACCTAGGCAAGAGTGATGTCACATATCACAGGAGGCATCAGCTTCAAAACAACCAGCCTGTCACCCGATCAGTGCCACCTGAACAGTGCCAAAGGCTATAGAAGGCAGTGCTGATCAATATATTCTGACAGTGGGGATATCTTCCCACCGTCAGAACACAATAACTCAGTGGGTGGATTCCCCCATCCACCTCGAATGTGTGAATGGGGGAACCGGGCCTGTTTTTTCTTTGAACCCACTGGTTGAACAAAAAAAAATTGAATCATCTCTGGCAAGGTTCTCCAAACGTCGAAACAAAGGGCCAGTTTACTACCATTCAAACTTTGGGGGGGGGGGGGTTGGACTGTAGCCAGTGGGAGTAGAAAATTCCCTGGAATCGATGGGAGTAAACAATGCCGTAGGCTTCGTGATCAGTGGGAGTAAAAAAAATTACATAATTTGTGTCAGTGGGAAAAATAGTGCCCCATCATTGGTGTCAGTGGGAGAATTAGTTCCTAATCTTTGGTGTCACTGGGAGGAATAGTACCTCATTACTGGTGTCAGTGGGAGGAATAGTGTCCCATCTTCAGTGTCAGTGGAAGGAAGAGTGCCCATCGTTGGTGTCAGTGGAAAGAATAGTGCAATGTATCAGTCGAAGGAATAGTGCCCCAAGGGCCGGATAAAGGCAAGCAAAGGACCAAATCCAGCCCCTGGGCTGCAGTTTGGAGACCCCAATCTATGGGCTACTTTAGTAGAAGTCTTATTTAAACAATCTACTCAATTTGTTTCAAGTCAGGTAGCTTCTTGTACATTCTAAAGATGATTATTCATTCAAGGTGTATGGCCAACTTTAAGTGATTGTAAAAGTTACAATTCTTTTAGAAATAACAAACATGCCATACTTAGCTGCTATGAGCAAAGGTATTACACAGAGCAGCCCCTCTTCTGTGGTCCCCCATCAGCCCTGTCCACTCTTCATCTCCCATAGCAAAGTGGTTGCTCTGGGGGCTCAATCCCGAGCCGGGTTTTGTGTGTTTATAAACGCACACAGCATAGCTCAGCCCTGCGCCCCGCTCACTCCTCACAGGCTTTGATTGACAGCAGCAGAAGCCAATGGCTCCTGCTGCTGCTTAGTCTCCTGTGAGAAGAGAAAGAGGAGAGAAGAACTGGTGTAGATAGGCACAGCTTTGGATTGAGATCGGGCTCAGGTAAGGGTTTAGGGTGGGACTGGGGGGAACAACTTTTTGCCTTTAGAACCACTTTAACTGCCCTTAATGGCCACTCCACGCAATCTACAATATGTAGCCTGAATAGATCTACAAATCTTTACAACTAATATAAACAATAATATAAGAAAGTAGGCTTGAAAAATATGTGAAAATCATATAAACGTTACTCAAAAACTCAAAAAGTTCACAGAAAATACTCAATACCTCTCCTTTAATTCTCAGAGGCAAACCAGCATCTGGTATAATTTTTATGTCTCTCAAATACGTCTTTATTCCCTTCTAAATTTTACCGTAACACACTGTAATCAGCAGTTTTGTAAAACCATGGCCTTTTTATTCCAGCCTGCCATTATTATTTAGAATTATAATGGTGGGTTTTGTGCTAAAATGATAGTTCTTTGGTATAAATGTTATGTAAAGGTCAGTAAAAAAAGGTGGGGTTTATTTACTAAAGCTGGTTCACTCATAATCTCGTGCACTTCTGCAGAGAAACCAATCAGCTTCCAGGTTTTTTTGCTACAGCTTATTTGAACAAGCTGAGGTTAGAAGCTGATTGGTTACCATGCACAGATGCACGAGATTCTGAGTGAACCGGTTTTAGTAAATAAACCCCACTATGTTTACTTTATGTGTTTTCTGATTTCTGAATACTATTAGGATGATCATAAATGCCTCCCTTCAGTGGCCATGTATGAGCTATAATCTTTCTTTTAGTCATCTTGGTTACCAGTACAAAAAGCAATGGAAAATTCAAAATGTCACAGCTGTCACTAGAACTGGAGGAGAGTGGAGATCTAGAAATGATGACAACTGTCTAAGAGGGGATTTCCATTCATTTGCTGTTACATCTCTGGAACTCCCCTCAAAAAGACAAACAGTAAAGAAAGAGGGGTTTTGACTAACCTCTTTTTTCCTATTGATACACCTAAAGATTTGTATTTTGCTATGAATTATTATTTATTGGAATGTTGTACATACATTGTACTGTAGCAAAGGCTGACCATGTCCACATTGCTATTTATTCTACATATCAGTCGTATTTGACAAAATAACTTTTCATATTATTAATAGTTGCTAATCAGATTCTTCCATTCATCCTGTTTTATTGTGTGTGAGATGTGAAAAGGAGATTCTGATTAGTTGCTATGGGCAACAAAACATCCAACACTGTGGGTCATAAGACAGTGTGAAGTTGATTTGGGTTGATTTGTTAACCGCTTAAGGACCGCCCTATAGCAGATATACTACTACAGGGTGGCACCTTTGCACAGAAACACGTATATACGTTATTCTGCATCTCCGGGTAAGGGGCGCGCGAGAGTCGCGTGCGCTCCCTACCAGGGGCGGACTGACAACTCATAGGGCCCCCGGGCAATAGGGGACCATGGGGCCCCTGTGTCCTTGTCCAAACTCAAAAAAGCCTATAAAAAAGGTACCAGGGGCATCTCATGGGGCCCCCTACTGACCCGGGCCCTCGGGCAGTGCCCGAGTTTCCAAATGGTCAGTCCCTACCCACACCGCCATTCATGGCCGCGGATGTCAATCACCGAGTCCCGGCCGGTAATTTGTTTACGAAGAATCTTCCTCCCTGTCAGCTCAAGCATATTGCTCGAGATGGCTGTGCACAGTACAGCCATCCCAATCAGTGTGCTTACAATGAAGAACACCCCCCCCCCTAGTAAAACACTCCCAGCACACAGTTAACCCTTTGATCACCCATCACATTAACCCCTTCCTGCCCAGTGCCATTAGTACAGTGTCAGTGCTTTTTTTTAGCACTGATCACTGTATTGGTGTCACTGGGGTGTCAGTGACACCAAGTTAGTCCCCCCCCCAGTGTCAGAATGCACGCCACAGTCCAACTAAAAGTTGCTGATCGCCACCATTACTAGTAGAAAAAAAATTCCCATTATCTATACCGCCATTTGTAAATGGTATAACTTTCACGTACACCAATTAATTTACATGTATTGGGATTTCTTTTAGCAAAGACATGTAGCAGAATACATTTCGGTCTAAATTTATGACTAAATTAGATTTTTAAATTTTTTTTACTGGACATGTTTAATAGCAAATGTCCAAAAAATTGTTTTTTTTCTCAAAATTGTCAGTCTTTTTTTGCTTATTGCACAAAAGAATAACAAACACACAGGTGATCAAATACCACCAAAAAAAAGCTTAATTTGTGGGAGAAAAAAGGACATAAATTTCATTTAGGTGCAGTGTTGCATGACTGTGCAATTGTCAGTAAAATAACTCAGCGCTGTAAAGCAAAAAATAGCCTGGTCCTGAAGGGGGGTGAATCCTCAGGAGGGCGAGTGGTTAAAGGCATGTAGAGTGTGCACTTCTCAAGTGCAATTGCATTGATTTTCCCCAGAGCTTAGTGAATGTGGTGAAGCTCTGATGATGTTCATCATCGAATCACATGCCAGCATAAATGCTGTTTTTTATTTTCCTTGCACCTGATTGAGTATTCTTTACAAAGTGAAGCTTCACTGCATTCACTCTGGAGAAAATGAGTGCAACTGCAGTTTCAAAGTGCACAGCCTATGTGGTTGATTTACTAAAGTCAAATAGACTGTGCACTTTGCAAAGTGCAGTTGCACTCTGCAAGTTCATTTGCTCCAGAGCGGAAGCTCTGCTGAATACCATCATCTAATCATGTACACACGCAAAAATGCTGGTATTTTTTATTTTTCTTGCACATGATTGGGTATTCTTTGCAAAGTGAAGCTTTACCTCATTTACTAAGCTCTGGAGCAACTGCACTTTGCAAAGTGCACAGTCTATTTGCCTTTAGTAAATCAACACCTTTGTATTTTGTGTTTTTGTGTTCTTGTTCTCATTGTACCTGAGCCACTAGGCTCCCTAAGTCCGTATATATGTACAGTAATGTGTTCTGTATTAATTATTTTGTTTCCAGTAGGAGGAAAAAAATGGGTTTTGGCTGGAATGTTCATTAAAACCTACAAATAAATCAATCTTGATTTTAAAATTTCTTTTTAATGTCTAGATCCTGACACGGGGAAGACATGTTTAATAAAGGCCATGTGGAATCTTCAGAATGGAATGAATGATACCATTCCTATATTGCTGGAAGCTGAGGAGACACCTGGTAAAATGGAAGAATTAGTTAACGCAGCATATACTAATGAATATTATAAAGGTACATGCAGATTATGTTTTTACGTTTTCTCTTGTTGAAAGTGTTCAATTTGTTGTTTTACTCAACTGTCTAATAATGCCTATTGAGTGATTCTTTTTAACAGTAGCAATGCTTGGACTGGCTATGGTGTGTTTATTTATTTTTTCAGCTTTTTTTTTCATTTATGTTTCAACAGCATATTTTACAGCAGAGTGATTTACAAATGTGTATTGCACTCTTTTAGCTTAGGAGTTCCAAAACCAGCAGAGCATAACAAAAATAAATAGAACTTTTATTAAAAGAGGAAAGAAAAAAAACTGGTCATGTAACCTGTCAGAGTCACATAACCAAGTCTCCTCTAGTTGTGGAGCTCTCTCTGCTATGTTAGGCAGAAATAACTCATTGAACTGCATTTTATGTATGGCCCAAAAAATGTAGGCTGTGCTTTGTGTACCCAGTAGAATATGACTGAGGGTAGAAAGTGATATCCACACTCCATTACAAATGATCTTTATGGTCTTTATATCTTCATTCAGTATTTGCATATTGCATTGACAATTAGCAAAGGCTTGCAAACCTTATTTATGCAGAATCATCGTCTTTTATAATGCTATAAAACTGAATGGATATAATAAGTGGGGTTAGTAACACAAAAGAGGTTCCCAATAGAAGCATATACAGTGCATTCAGAAAGAATTCACAGCGCTTAACTTTTGCCACATTTTGTTATGTTACAGCCTTATTCCAAAATGGATTAAATTCATTTTTTTTTCCTCAACATTCTACAAACAATACCCCATACTGAAAATGTGAAAGAAGTTCGTTTTGAAATCTTTGCAATTTATTAAAAATAAAAAACGAAAAAATAAACACATGTGCATAAGTATTCACAGCCTTTGCCATGACACTCAGAATTGAGCTCTGGTGCATCCTGTTCCCACCGATCATCCTTGAGATGTTTCCACAACTTGATTGGAGTCCACCTGTGGGAAATTCAGTTGATTGGACATGATTAGGAAAGACATAAACCTATCTATATAAGGTCCCACAGTTAACAGTGCATGTCAGAGCACAAACCAAGCCATGAAGTCCAAGGAATTGTCTGTAGACCTTCGAGACAGGATTGTATCAAGGCACAGTTCTTGGAAAGGGTACAGAAACATTTCTGCAGCATTGAAGGTCTAAATGAGTAAATCGGGCCGCTCGGCTAAAATGAGCGATCGAGGGAAAAGGGCCTTAGCCAGGGAGGTAACCAAGCACCCGATGATCACTCTGAAAGAGCTCCAGTGTTTCTCTGTGGAGAGAGAACCTTCCAGAAGAACAACCATCTCTGCAGCACTCCACTAATCAGGCCTGTATGGTATAGTGGCCAGACAGAAGCTACTCCTCACTAAAAAGCAAATGGCAGCCCTCCTGGAGTTTGTTAAAAGGCACTGAGAAACAAAACTCTCTGGTCTGATGAAACAAAGATTGAACTCTTTCGCCTGAATGTCAAGCATCATGTCTGGAGGAAACCAGGCACCGCTCATCACTTGGCCAATACCATCCCTACAGTGAAGCATGGTGGTGGCAGCATCATGCTGTGGGGATGTTTTTCAGTGGCAGGAACTGGGAGACTAGTCAGGATCTAAGGAAAGATGAATGCCGCAATGTACAGAAGCATCCTTGATGAAAACCTGTTCCAGAGCGCTCTGGACCTTAGACTGGGGTGACGGTTCATCTTTCAACAGGACAGCAACCCTAAGCACACAGCCCACATAACAAAGGACTGGCTACGGGCCAACTCTGTGAATGTCCTGGAGTGGCCCAGCCAGAACCCAGACTTGAACCCGATTGAAATCCCTGGAGAGATCTGAAAATGGCTGTGCACTGACACTTCCCATCCAACCTGATGGAGCTTGAGAGGTACTGCACAGAAGAATTGGAGAAATTGCGCAAAAATAGGTGTGCCAAGCTTGTAGCATCATACTCAAAACGACTTGAGGCTGTAATTGGTGCTAAAGATGCTTCAACAAAGTATTGAGCAAAGGCTGTGAATACTTATATACATACTGAAGATACCTATGACTCTCTTCCCTGGAGTAATGATCACCCTTGACTTTCCATAGTCGGATGACTACCAGAAACTCTAGACATAACAATGACGACTAATAAGCACCAATAAACCAACCTAGACCAATACCTAATGAAAACCTGTCTTTCAGTGATGGCTATTTATTACTGCCTTCAACTGGTAAGCAGCCATGATTCCCTCCCCCCAATCCACACCCACCACCCAGACTGATGACCTAACTCAGCTGACTCCCTTGGGACTAATTATCACCCACCACCCATCCTGGACAGATGTCCACTCATGTCGCCATGCCATCCTGTAAATCCCCCATGACTTCTTCCTGTAATGATGACCAACAACATCCAACCTAAAAATGATAATCATCTACTCACCCTTGATACCTCTCACTTAAACATTGGACTTCACTAAGACTAAAGACTGCATGTAAAACCTCTCTTCCTCCCTGAGATGATGGCCAATGACCACCCCAACAGATGACTTTCTCCTCACTGCCCTCCTATTCCGACTGCTGAGAAAAACTCCCTGAGTTTCTGACCTTTACAACTCTTCCTACTGATGATCAGCTGAATCCAAACTGCTTAGCTAGAAACACAAATGAACTCCCAGAATCAATGACCATCTGTTTTACCAGTGTAGATATTATTGTATTGTTTAATATTAGGCCTAGAGATGAGCGAATCGAACAGGCGAACGGAATTCGAGTCGAATTTCAGGAAATATTCGATTCGCGTCGAATCCGAAAATTTTGCCTACTTCGGTATGTGTGCGCGAATCGAACATTTCCCGATCAGCCGGCAAAAGTGTCCCTGCAGTGAGCTCCGCTATTTCTGCCAGTTCTCTGACAGAAGGAACACATGTTTAGCGGTTGAAACATTGTATCTATTAGTTTCCATTTAGGATACAGATGTTTCAACCGCTGTACTGTGAAGAAGCTGAAGTAGGATGAAAAGAAGAATAATTCCAAGCCGGCAAAAAGTGTATGTGCAGAGTTCCTCTATTCTGCAGATACACTTAGAGGAGCTCTGCAGATACACTTAGAGGAGCTCTGCACATACACTTTTTGCCGGCTTGGAATTATCTTATTTTCATCCTACTTCTTCTTTCTTCTTCTTCATCCTCATCCTCAGAAGAAGAAGAAGAGGATGAGGATGGATGAAAGAAGAAGAAGAAGAAGAAGTAGGATGAAAATAAGAATAATTCCAAGCCGGCAAAAAGTGTATGTGCAGAGCTCCTCTATTCTGCAGCACACACTTAGAGGAGCTCTGCAGATACACTTAGAGGAGCTCTGCAGATACACTTTTTGCCGGCTTGGAATTAATCTTATTTTCATCCTTCTTCTTCTTCTTCTTCTTCATCCTCATCCTCAGAAGAAGAAGAAGAGGATGAGGATGAAGAAGAAGTGAAGGAAGAAGTAGAAGTAGGATGAAAATAAAGAATAATTCCAAGCCGGCAAAAAAAAGTGTATGTGCAGAGCTCCTCTAAGTGTATCTGCAGAGCTCCTCTAAGTTTATGCAGAATAAAAAACTCTGCACTACACTTTCAACCAGGGAAACCGCTGTATGGAGGGAATGTCCCATAACTGTCAGAAATAGACTATGTTTTCTGACAGTTCTGGGACATTCATCCATACAGCGGTTTCAACCGCTGTATGGAGGTAATGTCATAGAACTGTCAGAAATAGAACTATTTATGACAGTTCTGGGACATTCACTCCATACAGCGGTTGAAACATTGTATCTATTTTTTTCCATAAATGACATTCTGCAAATACACTTAGAGGAGCGCTGCAGATACACTTTTTGCCGGCTTGGAATTAATCTTATTTTCATCCTACTTCTTCTTCTTCATCCTCATCCTCATAAGAATAAGTGTATCTGCAGAATGTCATTTATGGAAAAAAATAGATACAATGTTTCAACCGCTGTATGGAGTGAATGTCCCAGAACTGTCAGAAATAGACTATTTATGACAGTTCTGGGACATTCACTCCATACAGCGGTTTCAACCGCTGTATGGAGGGAATGTCATAGAACTGTCAGAAATAGACTATTAATGACAGTTCTGGGACTGTCCTTCCATACAGCGGTTGAAACATTGTATCTATTTGTTTCCATAAATGACATTCTGCAGATACACCAGCGCCTCTAAGTGTATTTGCAGAATGTCATTTTTGGAAAAAAATAGATACAATGTTTCAACCGCTGTATGGAGTGAATGTCCCATAACTGTCAGAAATAGACTATTTCTGACAGTTCTGGGACATTCACTCCATACAGCGGTTGAAAACCGCTGTATGGAGGGAATGTCATAGAACTGTCAGAAATAGACTATTTCTAACAGTTCTGTGACATTCCTTCCATACAGCGGTTGAAAACATTGTATCTATTTGTTTCCATAAATGGATCCATTTATGGAAACAAATAGATACAATGTTTCAACCGCTGTATGGAAGGAATGTCCCAGAACTGTCATAAATAGTCTATTTCTGACAGTTCTGGACATTCACTCCATACAGCGGTTTCAACCGCTGTATGGAGGGAATGTCCCAGAACTGTCATAAATAGTCTATTTCTGACAGTTCTGGGACATTCACTCCATACAGCGGTTTCAACCGCAGTATGGAGGGAATGTCATAGAACTGTCAGAAATAGACTATTTATGACAGTTCTGGGACATTCCTTCCATACAGCGGTTGAAACATTGTATCTATTTGTTTCCATAAATGGAATCCATTTATGGAAACAAATAGATACAATGTTTCAACCGCTGTATGGAAGGAATGTCCCAGAACTGTCAGAAATAGTCTATTTCTGACAGTTCTATGACATTCCCTCCATACAGCGGTTGAAACCGCTGTATGGAGTGAATGTCCCAGAACTGTCAGAAATAGACAGAAACTGTCACAGAACTGTCCTTCTTCTCATCCTTCTCCTTCTTCTCATCCTTC